GAAGTCCGGAACTAACCAGGGCCTTTCCCTCTGCATCGGGCCGAAGTCCGAAAACTACATCGGACTGAAGTCCGGAACTGATTGGGACCTTGTCCCCTGCATTGGACCGAAGTCTGGAACTAACTGTATCAGACCGAAGCCCGGAACTAACTGAACATAGCATAGCATAATCATATCAACTAACACATAAACTACATACTACATCGAGCCGAGGTCCAGAATACATAACACAAAGACATGCTTGAATCACAAAGACATCAAGCACACTGAACTACTGCATCGGACTGAGGTCTAGAAACTACTGCTGACTAAACGGGCCGGCATTGTGGCCATAGACCCATTCCTACTGGAAGGAAACTCACCTCGTAACGCTGGCTGCTGAGATACTAAATCCGGAACTAGCTGAATGTTACTCCGAAACACCCTGACTACAAACTGATAAACACTAAATTAGATACTAATAACTGTTCTCAGGGTAACATGACTATTTTACCCCTGGTCAAGTTAACTTCCTGGTCAAAGTCAACTTTCAATTGACCGGACTCGCCGAGTCGAGCCGCCAACTCGCCGAGTCCCTATCATCCATTCTAATCCTCTACCCGCTTCTACTCATCGAGTTTGGCAAAGACTCGACGAGTTCTTCTTTGATACTAACATCGAGTCTAACTTTATCCGACTCCCCGAGTTGTATGAACAACTCGTCGAGTTCCCCTTCAACAGAAGAACACGTACCAGTCTATGACTCGCCGAGTCGTATGAACAACTCGTCGAGTCCGTATGCTTCCAGATCCAAGTATTAACTCACTGAGTCCTTACTCTACTCACTGATTCCACCCTAACTTTCAAACGGGGAAAAATTGAGAACTCGCGACTCGACTCATCGAGTTTGAAGAACGACTCGCCGAGTCCTATGCATGCCATTACTATACAGTCGATTCTGCTCGAATCCAATGCATACCATTCATAGATCTGGGCTCCTAGGGCTGGTTTTTCACTAACTTTACGTGCATGCATGCTCATAAGAAGCTCAAATGCCCAATAAAGAGCTAAAATAGGAGATCTAGGTTTGGAATGGGGGTTTAGCTCAATAAAGGTGGCAACCTTGAGCTTAAGGAGTTCTGAAATGCTTAGATCTGAAACCCATTCATCTTAACTACTCTTAAATCGATGTCAATGACTAGAAAATGGCTCAAAAACAACACTAACAAGCTTTTAAGGAGATCTACATGATGACAAGCAAAGATTCGAGCTTTATACCTCAATGGAAACTAGAATAACACAAGAATCTCAGATCTTCTTTGCTCCTCTTGAAAACCCTTCTTCTCTCTTCCCTCTTCTTTTTCTAACTCCAAAATGCACTTAAAATCCTTCACAATATGAGAAATACTCCAAGAATGCTTAAAGGAAGGCTAGGGTTTAGTAAGGGACGTTCTGAGGGTGATGGAGGCTGGTTTGGGGCGCATAGTGTTGCTTAAATAAGGTGCAAACCCTTGAAATTAGGGTTTCATCCAGACTGGCAGACTCGCCGAGTCCAAGAATATGGACTCGTCGAATAGCCAACTTAAACCGCGTGCAAATCCCGTCTCTACTCGACGAGTTGGGCTACAGACTCATCGAGTACCCTTTAAGAATTGAAAATTACTTTATTGTAAATCACATACCATAAATGGGGCGTTACTATTATATATATATATATATATATATATATATATATATATATATATATATATATATATATATATATATATATATATATAATAATAATAATAATAATAATATTATTATTATTATTATTATTATTATTAGAAAAATATTATAAATAACAATAATATAAACACTAATAATAATAATAATAATTAGATCTAAGACCCGTATGTTATACGGGTTTGATAAAACAAAATATAAAATATAAAAGTTTAAACAGAAATTTATTTAAATTTGAAATTTAAAATTTAAAAAGAAACATATTAAATACTATATTAATACTAATATTGTAATTTATTGATTATTTTTAAATTAAGACAATTATTAATTGAAGTGTAAATGTGAAGTACTTTTTAAGAATGATAAAAAATATAAGAAAAATGATAAATGGAAAAGACATTTAATCAAAAATATCAAAAAATAACATGTGTCCAAGTTAATGAGAAAGTGACATGTGATAAAATTATTTTCATTTATTAGGTAAGATAATAATAATAATAATAATAATAATAATAATAATAATCTATCTTTTCTAATAAATGAAACTTAAAAATGATACGTGTCAGTTTTTTAGAATATCTTTTTGACACGTAACATTTTTCTATTATTTTTATTATTTTCTTTTTTTGGTTACAAATCAAATTCAATTCAGGTTTTGAAAATACAAACCCATATCCTAATATCATTATTATGTTTATTTTGCTTAACAAATTAATTCATAATCACTTACAATCGATAATATATCGGCTTTTTTTTGACATTTATTAGTATTTTTTTTAATTATTTAAAATTTTTAAATATATTGACCGTGGTTTCCACAGGTTATAACCTAGTAATAATAATAAAGCAAAATTTGTTTTTTTATTAACCATTAGATAAACTAACTGATTAAGTATTACAATTGCTAAACAGTAAACATCTAAAAAAAATCTCCTATACTTTTATCACATAACTTTGTTTCCTTTCCTTACACTATTTAGCGTAGCTTTTTTAAACACTTAAACACATCTTCACAATCAAATGTATCATCCTTACAAGTCACAACAGGTTCTACAAGATCAATCTATATTATTAGAATTATTTTTTAGGTTAATGATAATAATTATTATTTGACCTTGCTTTTTAAAGAACTTTATAATTACTTTAATCTTTTTTATGGATCTATTAGTTTTTAATAAAACAAGACAAAAACAATGTTTACTTTTTTTTGAAAGAATGCCACGACTTTTGTTTTTGCCTTGCTTATCAACCTCGCTTTAAAACTTTTTTTTTTTTTTTCTAATTATTTAAGATATGTCAATGTATATTTTTTTTTTATAGATTTCTTTTAGTATTTAACTTTTTTTACTATTTAAAAATAAACGTTTACTAGTAGTAATAGATATGTATATAAATTTTACGTTGTACGAGTAATAATATAGTGGCTCACGTTATGTAATATTTAAAATAGTTATTTATCTCATATTAATATATATTTCTCTAATAATAATTTATATCTACTGAAAAATACTCAAAAAATTTATCTGTTTAATTTATGATTTTGTAATTTATATATAATTAAAAACCAATGAAAAAAATTAATAAAAAATAAAAATATTAAAAGTTGATTAAATACTTCGCCGGCGATAACGCTGAAATAGGAATCATTCGGTACATCAAATGATTATACATATAAAAAATATATATTTGAAGTTATATTTCATCATCACTTCGCTGGACCACCGAACCACCAAGTTGCCGCCATTGGACCACCGAATCCCCGGGCGATCAGGTGTTACGCCGATACCGCATTCATATTGTTTATAATTTTTTTCTTACTTTTTCAACTCTTCTTTAAACTTTTTACAACGTTTGAACATATATTTTTAACGTTTTTTTTTTCAAAAAAAAATCATGAGCTGTAGAAAAAAGTTTCAAATTCAGATGATTTGATTTTGTTAACAACGAGTTTCGAATAAACGGAAAAAAATATCGAAAAGTTAAAACTAAATAATATAAACGAACAATACCATAAAAAGTTCAAAAAAAATAGACAAACAAAACATCAAAAATTAAATAAATAAACATTAAATCTACATATTCGAATAAAACGGCAAGAAAATTAAATATAAATGATTAAATATAAATAAAATAATAAATCATAATATTAATAAATAATGATTTTTAATAATTTAGATAATTAATTTAATATTATTAAATAAGTTGATCTTTTATTTTTTGCAAATTAAAATTTAATATTATTAAATAAGTTGATTCTTTGTGTTTTGCTAATTAAAATCTTAAAATATAAAGGGATATGTAACCAACAAATAAAAATAAGATATATATTTAAAAAAAAAAAAAACAAAGAAACAATGAACGTGGTTTGGCAAAGAAAAAAAAAGTAGTGGTTATTTGTAAATTACTAGAAAATAATTATGATAGAACACAATTTACTAGATTTAATTGTTTAAAAAAAATAAATTGGTGTATCAAAAGAAATTTCGGTCACAAAAATGTTGTTTAACTCAATCTTTCGTCAAAAGTTTGTCACTAGACCCTAGTGGTATCAATTGACCTGCATGTGGATAAGCTACAAAAGCAAAAGGGTCTTTCAATTACAAAAGCAAAAGTGTTTTTCAAATAATTTACATAAATGGTTTGTGAACTTATATAACTTATATGATTTTATAACATAAATTATAAGGATTATATAAATTAGAACGGGCTGTATAAATTTGAACAACACAAAAAAATATTATATAAATTAGAACGGGCTGTATAAATTTGAACAACACAAAAAAATATTATAGAAAAAAAAAATTAATCATACAATAATCTCCGAACGACTATATAAATTTGAACGACAATATATTTAAGTATTTAATGAATGACTTTTGTTGTTGAAATAGTCTTTATAAATCAACGGGTACTGTACTATTGTTCGGTGTGTGGTAATAACTTGTTGTATAAATCCAACCAAATTTTAATATAATAATTATTATTATATTCTAATAATAATAATAGCAACAACAACAACAATAACAACAACAACAATTGTAACAACCCTAATTTCTTGAGGTTAATTCCGTTATATTCTCATGTTAAGTTACTTTTCTATTGATTAAAGTTAACTTAAGGTGGGTAAAGTGTAGAAAATGATTCTTTGAATATATATATATATATATATATATATATATATATATATATATATATATATATGTCATATGGTCATTTTTACACACTTTGAGGGGCCTACATGAAAGATGGACTCATTTTTATACCACACTTAACCCTAATCCATAAGTAACCTCTCATTTGTTGCCAACAACCCTATCATAAGCCTCCGTCTTCTTGAGAAAGAGTTTTAGGGTTCTTACCCTTGGTGGTGTGTTGAAGTGAAGAAGAAATGTGAACTCTTTGGTGCAATTGGTGGACTGATGGTGGGAATTCATAGAGCTTCTCCCTTAGCATATTCTTGGTGGTTCATATATGGATTTCCAGAAGGTAAGAACATCTACCTATAACTCATTTTGTTATCCTACAAGTCACACACAAGGAGAGGCCATGGATAATGCAAAATTCTTGATCTTGGTGTGTTTGATTGTCCCACCTATGTCCCTATCATTGTGGTCACCTAAAAAGGCTCTTGAGGGGTTAAGAACATCCCGATAAAGATTTTGATCAGACCGAAAGCAGAATGAGATCATCAATCGATGATCAAAAAAATCTATAACTATCCAGTTTTCATGATGTGAGCATTACTTTTTCATCAATCGATGTTGCAAGACAATACACCTTAGATAAAGTACGAAAAGTAACCGTTTATATTTATAGATGTTGTGTTTTTTTTTAACCTTGTTTAGAAGGTTCACCGGTGGTCAAGAATTAACACGAACCGGAATAACACTATTTGTTACTTCTTTTCTTACATTAAAAAAATTTCAATAGTTAAAATATCATATTCAACAATTATTGCTTCTAATGAATGTGCCGCATCCACCTTCGCTTCTATAAATAAAAGGAGTTTAATTGAAAGTATTATTTTGGTTGATGACAGTTTTTGGAAGGCTATAAAATATTATTTGAGTTGTGTAGTTCCTATTTTTAAGGTATTGAGACTTATGGATAGTGATGTCAAACCGGCAATGGGTATATATATATATATATATATATATATATATATATATATATATATATATATATATATATATATATATATATATATATATATATATATATATATATATATATATATATATATATATGGGGAAGATTAATCTTAAGTGGAATATACAACTTCATATGCTACTTCATTACGTGAGATATTATCTTAATCCTATGTGTATATTTTTATTATTTCATTAACATTAATTATTTACGACTAAACGCTTATTTTTTTATTTTATAAACTAGTCTTCATTTGGAGGAGAACTTTAATGCCGATAAAGAAGTTAAATGTGGATTGTACGGCGTCATTAAAGGATGTATGACAGGTTAACAATGGTGACAATTCATGAACAAATTGTAAAGTTCAATAGGATATTTGGGATATTCGAATCCGTGCTAATAAGGAAGAAAATGCAACCTGGTAAATTTTGGGGAAAATGTAACCTGGTAAAATATATAATTATTACATTATTACTTATTACTTATTAGTTCTATAAAATTGTAGCTAAATGGTGGTCAAGTTATGAAAATCTTGTTATTCCTGTACTGAGCCTCACATGTAGTGCCACAAGATGTGAGAAAAATTTGAGCATTTTTGACCATATACACTCCAAGAAGAGGAACCTTTTGGAGCAACAAAGGTTGAATGCATTGGTGTTTGTGAAATACAGCATCAACCTTGATACATGTCTCCAAAAGAGAAAAGAAAGAGGGGAGACCTATGATCTAATATGTTTGTCGAACATGAAGTAAGATGATAAATGGATTACCGAAAAAAGAAGGATGTATGTCTCCACGAAAATATCTCACGGATGGATGTTCATAAATATTTTAAAGAGGATGAAGAAACCAATACTAATAAAAGGAAGATAGGTAAATTATACAAAAGGGTGATTATATATTATAATATTAATAAGTATCAAGTTTAATAAATACAAGCTTTACTTATTTGTAGGACCAAGGTTCAATCTGAACAAAATCACCCAGACGACGATGATGAGGATGAAGAAGATGATGCTGGTTGCCATAAGATAATGGTGGTTGAAGATGAAGATGAAAATGTAGCATCTCGTTTTTCGATCAATTATCTAGAAATATTAATTAATAAATATTATGATTATTGTGGAAATGGAAAATAAATTTTAAGGTTTTATAAGTGAATTATATAAATAGTAGGCATTATGTAAATTGTAAAGTGATTAAATAATAATTAAAGAAAATAAATAATAATAATAATAATAATAATTAACTAATAAATGTATAACGAAGGGATCCGTAATCATTTCTAGAAAATTGGCTTAAAGTGTCAATGATAAAAGCTGTCATTTGTCAAGAAAATTGTTTTTGGGTAGAAAGTGTCATTTTGGGAAAATAAGGGGCTGGAAATGTAAAATTCATTTTTCTTTCATAAAAGCTAACAGGAATAAGGCATGAGTTTGTTTTTACATCAACTTTTGATGTGCATAATTAATTAAACAAAACTTCAATTCATGAAACCTCAAAGGATATGGTTAGGGTATAATGTCTAGTATACCATGATTTTTTCATAAGATTTAAATCTTAAACCTCCTAGAGTAAATTTAACACATTTGGATGTGTGTCCAGAAAGTAACAACTCAAAATGACTTACTTGTAAAATTAATATAAAATCAACCAAAAACCGTGAGAATGAAATTTTTATATTCCCAGAAAGGTAAGATAGGGAACTATATGAATATAATTTTATTAGAACCTTATCATGACTTTAACGTTAAGAAATCAAATCCCGAACAGAACACTGTAATCAAAGAAAAGTTAAAGTAATACAAAATTTAGTATTTTAAACTATAGTTATGAATTACAAGTTAAGTAAATGTTATAATTATTGTGCAGGTGTTCAAAAAAAGAGGAAGTTCATTTAACTATTGCAATTAGAGTGTTCAATTTATCAAAAGAGGGGAGTTGCACTAACTCTCTTATTATATAGACATTACTTGATGTATGTGTATGTTGTCCACAAATACCCTAATATGGTAGAGTGGACAGGAACATGTTCTTGACCATGATAGACCCTTCGAGGGGAGTGGTTAAGGTATGGATGATCATAACGGACCCTTTTGGGGGAAGTGATTAGTCCCAATATGGTAGTGTCTGAGATAGATCCTTCGGGGGAATTAGCCTACTGATGTAGAGTTGGTACTAACATCATGTGCTAGGAATGTTTATGTTTATGTTTTATGTGAAATGTTATGCTATGTGTAAGTAAGTGATTTATATAATTGTACAATAATATGTATGCTCAATAAGTGTTATGCTTACCTGTTGTTATTTAACATTTTTCATGATCGTCAAGTATTGAAGTGAAAGAGACCGATGTGACTGTATGTAACATTCTCTTGAAGATTTTAAGTTATTATTATGACAATCTGTTAACCTATGATATTTTTTGCTTCAACAATCTTTTTAGAAATATTTATTTCAATGTGGTTGAATGTTTTTTGAAAACATTAATTTTATTTTTAAAAGGGTAACAATTGGCTTTTTAATATTATATTTAAAAAAATTAGGCCGTTACATAAGATGACGATGACCATTTTATTCACGAATTTAGTTTTATGATTCAAACACAAAGTTTTTTTTTTTTTTTTGTCATTTGCTTTGTTACTAAATCACTAGTTATTTTTTGATACTTTATGATGTATATAACCCATAACCAATGAATTTGTAACATATTAGTAAATGTGTTTAAATATTTGGCTTATATTTTATTTATACATAATGTTATATATAATTTTTTGGGGATATCTTTGATAAAGTCTCAATATTTTGGATCAGTTTACGATTTAATTCAAAAAAAAAAATTTTAATAGAAAATTTTTTGATTATTTTATATTTGCCAAATTTAGCGAAAAAATATTTATTTTTTTCAACAAAAATGATATATTATCGTATAAAATTAGATAATATTATAACTATATATATATATATATATATATATATATATATATATATATATATATATATATAGGGTTAAGTTCAAATGAGAACACTATTTAATGTAAGAACGTGAGAACACTACTTTATGTTACTATTCTACTATGAATTTTATATATACAACGATATGACATTATTCATCAACAAATATACGAATAATCACACATTAATATTTACATTCAAATTTTGTATGTATAACTTTATGACATTATTCACTACCGAATATATGAAGAATCACATATTTAACATTCACATTAGAATTTTTTAAATTATTAAACATATATACAAATTTTATAGTAGAATAGCAATATAAAATTGAATATATTCATATTATAATTACTACAATACTATACATATTAAATTCATAGTAGAATAGTAACATAAAGTAGTGTTATCATGTTCTCACATTAAATAGTGTTCTCATTTGAACTTAACCCTATATATATATATATATATATATATATATATATATATATATATATATATATATATATATATAGGGCGTGTTTGACACGGAGCTTTTAGAAGCGTTTGGGAGCTTATAGCTTTTAGCTTTTGATAAAATGCTCTAGTATAAACAAAAAGCTTCGTTTGGCAGTACGAGCGTTTAGCTTTTAGTTTTAACAAAACGCTCCGATTCTAAAAGTTACTTCATGTAGCTTTTAACAAAACGCTCCGGAGCTTTTGAAATCAATTTCAATAATTACCCTTAAAAAAATATTTATATATATATATTTTTTTTATTTTTAATCAATTATCCTTTTATATAATTTTATATATTTCAAAAGCTACTAGCTTTTAGCTTTTGACAAAACGCTCTAGTTTAAACAAAAAGCTTCGTTTGGCAGTACAAGCGTTTAGCTTTTAGTTTTAACAAAACGCTCCGATTCTAAAAGCTACTTCATGTAGCTTTTAACAAAACGCTCCGGAGCTTTTGAAATCAATTTCCATAATTACCCTTAAAAATATATTTATATATATTTTTTATTTTTAATAAATTGTCCTTTTATGTAATTTTATATATTTCAAAAGCTTCCAGCTACTTTTGCCAAACATTCATAAAACAAATAAAAGCTACAACTTCCCGCTACCAGCTACTAGCTACACGCTACCAGCTACCCGCTACCAGCTAACCGCTACTCGCTTCCAGCTAACAACTACTTTTGCCAAACACGCCCTAAATAAAAGCTACAGCTTCCCGCTACCAGCTACCAACTACACGCTACCAGCTACCCGCTACCAACTAACCGCTACCCGCTTCCAGCTAACAACTACTTTTGCCAAATACATCCTTAGTATCATGACTTTATAAGTGTCATGACTTTATAACTCAAGTCATGAGTTAAAATTGAAGATTTCAAGTGGTTGTAAGTTGTAACTATGGATAGATGTGATTTGAATATTTTTAAGAGGACCCTAAATGAGAGGCAACACGTGTGAATGGAATTACTCGTTTAAATCGTATAGTAATCTGCAAACGGGAGAAACACTTGTCAGCGCGCTTTTCTGCAAATTCAAATCAAATTCTTTACTTCCAAAACCCACATTAATTACCAGTTAGCGCCTCTTTCCTCTCAACGTTGAACCCTAATCCTAGACGCCATCAATCTCTCCTCTTTACATATGAAAGCTTGATTTTTTCGATCTTGAATTTGAGTTTTGCAGAAACTGGTAGAGATCTATATGAAAAATGAAATCTTTTTAAGCACCTCATTCAATTTGCTTAGCGATGGATGGTTGTGTTGTAGCCGGATCTGAATCCAAGGTTTGTTTTTGTACATTCTTTCTGAACTTGCTCTTAACTGAATCCATTTTGGTATAAATTTTGTTGATCTTATCCGATTTATGGGATTGATTTTGTTTGCTGATGGTGGATGCAGAAGAGACGTTGTGAAGAATTTGTAGCATTGCCAGAACTCGGACCTAAAAGAGCAAAAATTAGAGACCTAGAGTCTGTTCTTCGTTCCGAAGGTAAATCATTTGAATATTCTTGAATTCGAAGAGTTTGATTTGGTTAAATGGTAGATGAGAACTTTAAATTCAAAGTCTAGGAGTTCGTTTTTGTGAGTTTTGGATAAAATTTGACTAGATTTGGTGACATTGAACTAGAAATTTGGTAAAATTACAATCCAAATCTTGATCTGAATCCAAATTTCTTCTCAATTAGGGAAAGCAAAAGTCAACACCGCTTCAGCATCTGATTTCAGCACCAAATACGAAGCTCCATCATGTATCGAAGACACAACCCAATTTGAATCCGGGATTAATTGTGTAAAACCAAAAGGTTTTGGTTTCGATCTCAACACCGAAGATGTTTCTAGTTCTATCAGTAACGATCTTTTTCACCCCGACAACGATTACAAACACGCAAAACCCCGAGATTCTTTATCTGAATGTGGAAGCACTTGTAATCTGGGAGGACAACAAGACTCCATGAGAGTATGGAAAGAAATGAAACAAAACGGATTTCTATCATCTTCTCATGGGGGCGTACCTGTGCCACCTGTCCCCAAATCACGCGGGAGGAAAAAAGGGAACGAGTCATTGATCAAGAAAAAGATAGAAATCGCAAAGAAAGAACAAGTCGACAGATTCGCTAAAGTCGCTGCTCCAAGTGGGCTTTTGAATGAACTAAATCCTGGGATTATAAACCATGTAAGAAACCGAAAACAGGTTCATTCTATAATTGAGAATCTTGTGAGATCTGCAAGAACTGAAAACAAACATGGTGAAAGCAAGCAAAAGGGTTTGGAAAATGAGACATGGAAGGATTCTTATGGGTGTCAATCAGATGAACTTAGAGGACACCATGCTAATGTAAATTGTGAAGATGATACTCTTGCATTGAAACTCTCATCATCAGCAAACATGGAATCAGTGAATATGAGCCATTTGTCCAATGATGAGTCTGGAAATATGTCAACAGTTGATTCCCTTTCCTTTAAAGGTAAGTTCTTAGTCTCCTTTCTTATGATTTAGTGAATCTTGTTAACCATGTTAACTTACTCAAATACAAAACGGTTAACTAAGTTAAAGAAAGAATCTTTGCCCAATTTCAAGCAATTTCTTTTCAAGATAATGGGATCCCAGGTCAATTCTTATCATGACATATAAAGGGTATCATTGTCTTTTTGCAGCTGCAAATGTAGC